GCTTGAGGCGTGGATCATTGGTGGTTTTATTTGTGCCTTGTTGGTGAAGATGTGTGAAATGATTATCTTTTGGTCCAAGAATCCAGTCTTCCTTCTCTTAGTATAAATCTCTTTTGTAAGACTAGCCATTTTAGAAGCTTGTGCTTTCTCTCTGTAGAATCAGTGAGTCCATATACTACATGGAGCTTGTGATAGATGCCTTCAGATTTATTTGTGCTCCACTTTAAACTTTTCTTGTCGCACTCATTTGTTAAATAAGGATGTTAACTTCAACAGCAAAATTTTAAGAGTTTGTGATTCATAGTACATTAATGATTAGGGCCTAAACACCTTGACTTTCTTTATATTTGTACTTAATGTTGGCCATGTCCTTATAAAACCTTATCTTTTATTTGGATATTATTAGATGTTAATGACATTGGATGGTACTGTGGCCATTTAATGGTTTATAATCAAGTGACAAAATGGACAGTTTTATATAAATATGCAAAAAATGAGTAAGTCAGTTACTCAAATTTGGCCTTTCTGTATCAGATTAAGTCCATTCTGATCTGTTGACTGATTTGCCTCATTTGATTGATTCTTGCTGGGGCAGCCTGTTTTGTCCAGAACTTCCAAATAGAGTCCCTTCACCAGAATTTAATACTATCAGGTAAAAAGTAATATAAGAATACATTGTCTTTTAACAAATTAGAGTACTTTAAATAAATCTAAAGTGTCTTTTGACTGCAGCCTGAAATTTTTAAATATTTTTTGTGCCTTAGCTGTTAGTGACTTTTGTTGCATCTTGTGGAGATTGAAACAGCTCACTGAGTACCGTTTAGAGATAAGGAAGTCAGGCCTCTTTTATGTGTCATGAAATTGCTGACTTTCAAGTGTAAAAAGAAAATCAACACACTTTCAATCTCAAAGAATGGAATATTGATAATGGCAACAGCAGCTAATGTTCATCAGATATTTACCAGGGGCCAGGCCTTGTTCTAAGTGGTAACGCATGTGATATTCTTAATTCACACAACAAATAACCCAATGAAATTATTATCCCCATTTTACAGAAGAGATAATAGGGACATGGAGTGCTTAATAATCTGTCCAAGATCACTCCTGTGGTATTTACTGAAGTGTGAATTCAAACCCTGGTAGTCTAGGGCAGATTGTATGCTCTCAATCCTGTGTTGTTCTGCATATGGAGAAGTTAGACTGGTATTGGACTTCTCACCTGTAGCACGTAAAACTAGAAGACAACTGGATATCTTTTGTAAAATCTTTCACTTGTTCGTCACTGCCAACAAAGTACATCTTGGTATATATAAGAACTCAGGAAATATGCTGCCTGAACCATCTCTGAGGAAAATCAGCTAGTAGAAAGATCTCAAGATACAAGACTCAGCATTTATAAAAAGTGTTAATTGAAAATATTGTTTTAAGGAGAAGTGAAACTTGTCATGTTGTGATGGCTTAGTTATTCACTTTGATGTAGTCAGAAAAATTTCAATTCATCAAATATGAAAAGAATGGGAAATGTTACTGAAATGAGGGGCAGAACACCTTTGTATTTTTTTTTTTTTTTGGTACTGGGGATCAAACTCTGGGCCTTGCGCTTGTGCAGCAGGCGGCGAAACCATTGAGCTAAATCCCTGGCCCCCACCTCTGTATTAAGAAGAAAAGGACGTGTGGGAAAATGCAGCTGAACCAATAAAAATAAGACTCAAAAAGACAAAGAAGAAAAGCATCTGTTAAGTAGTAGAAAGGAAATGAAATCTGTGTAGGTCCTCGCTAACTGTGAATGAGCTGAAATGTTCCCAAAGTCAGGTATTGAGAGTTACATAATCCAGTACTGTGCCTATGTGTATGTGTGTGTTAGTTCAGTCACAATGAAAGATTGAAAATGAACAATTGGGCAAAGATGAAGTAAGCAAATGTAAATAAAGTGCTAGTATTTTAAAGTGGTGTTATGAAAAGTGGTAGCATTAATGTCAAAAAAAATTTAAGGCAAAAAATATTGAATAGGTCAAAGACAGATAGTATGTATTTACTTATAATCCTTGAAGATGCTATAAACCTTTATACTATTCACTTATAATTGGCACCTGTGCAAGTAGAGCAAAAGCTCCAAGAAATAGAAGTTTATTAATAGACAGCTAGGATAATCTAAAATATCCCTTTCAGGATTTGACATATCAAGAAGTAAAAAACAAGGATATAAAGAATTTGAACGATGTAGTCAACAAGCTTGAGTTTTTTTGGATTCACTCACATGGGTGGCGAACCCATGGCACCCATGCCGCAGCCAACTGTGTGTTACCATTGAGAGCTCGAAAGGGTTCACCATCACTGCTTAGGATTTCATTTTTGAGAACATATTTGAGGTTGTGCTGTAACTGCCACCTGAGAGTGAAATTTAATGAAGAGAAGTATGAGATTCAAGAAATGGAACTGATCCAGGTCCAGTGAAGAGAAATAAGATGATGAAAGGTGACAGCTCACCCAAACTAGAATTGAAAGTTAGTGGGATTCTGGAATTATGCTTAAAATAAAGTGGAATGGATTCTTGTAAATGATATGATACAGTGTGATGAAGAGACTAAAAACTACTAGGGACATGGGAGAAAAAGGCCCATGGACCTTCTCCATAAAAGGATGAAACAACAAAAGAAAAACCAGAATAAAGTCCTACTTCAAATGTGAAACCGTATCAAATTCCATACGATTTGGAGTATCTGATGAAGTACATGAAGGAATCCATTTCAGTTGGGTTTTCTTTCGATGAGTGTACTATTTGGCCTTTAGAATAAATTTTAAAAGCGTGATCTTTTTAAAGAGTAAGTGTAATTCAGCTGGACTATCATCTCAGTACGGTGACTCATGAATGCATTTTTAATTTCCCGTTCAATAGTCATAGCCTGTTTAGAATTTCTACTTTTTCCTAATCACTTTTGGTATTTCTGCATTTTTTTTATTTCTGTTTGTTTTTATTAATTTTCTTACTTCCCTTTAGTTATTTTCTTCTTAAGTTGGGTACTTATTTTTAATCATGCTGTATCTTAAATAATACAAATAATTGAATTTTCAACTTAATGCTGATTTAGATCCCCACTTACAGTTCATGAAGCACTAGAAATGATCCTAGCTCCACTGAAGAACAGCAGTTTTACAATATTTAATTTTAATTAATTTAAATTTAAATAGCCACATATGGCTGGTGGCTACCATATTGGATAGCACAATTCTAGATAACCTCTATCAGTTTAAAATTTTCTCTCTGGGTGTCCTTTGTTTTTTGCAAAGTACTGAGGACTGAACCAGAGCCTTAACACTGAACTGCATCCCATTTGGTTTTGGTTTTGGTTTTTGTGGCAAAGTCTTGCTAAAAGGCTAACTTTCCCAGATTAGCTTGAATCTGTTTTCCTTCTCCCTTGGCTCTGAGAATGCTGGGATTACAGGTGTGGACTACCACACCTAGCTGGGTATTTTGTTTTGCATTGTTCTGTTTTAAGAAGAATATTACATAATTTTCAAGGATCCATTTTTTTACTCAACTTTTTATTGATTTGGATCACAGTGAAATCTGTAGACTATCTGCTTGAATGTTTAATATACTTCTCTGTAACAAACTATGTAACTGTTAAAATGTTTCATGAACATGATGGTGATTTTTTGTCTTTATAAGCGATTATAAAAGTTGAGAAGCAATACTGCTTAATGACATTAGAATGTTTTAAATCAAGAATTTTAGTAAAACTTTTTAAGGTATGGGAATAATAATAGCACAAACCACTAGGGTGGTTGAGAGGATTTAATGACTATTTTAATACATGTAAAAACACTTCTAGCAGTGTCTGACACATAGAAATTATTCAATGTTAGCTATTTTTATTATACATGATAAAATTGATTTGCAAAAATGGCAAATGTTGAATGGCAACACATTTTGATTAAAATTATGAATAAAGTAGAGTTGTTCTTAATCACTATGTTTTTCATTTTTTGATATTACTTGGTATCTTTAAATGCAGTAAAAGTAGAAGATGAAATAACTAAATATTTTTTGAGGAGATAAATTATTTAAAATGACACAGGATGTGATTATATACTTAGAAAAACCAGGAGACTAATAAAAACCAGTAAAATTAATGTTCATTGGATAGTGCAAATGTAAGATAAATACAAAAAAGAATAATTCTTTATTGTTGAAATAATTACAAATCAAAAGTCTATGGAAATAAGGAAATATTTCTTGTCCTAATAAATTATGTCCTTGAATTAGAATTTAAAGAAAGTCACAGCAGATCTCAATAAAAGTTGTAAGGCTTTCTAAATTAATACTTGGATTTAATTCAATTCCAATTAGAAATTTAGTGCATTATGGTAGTAAATCAAATAAAATTTTAAAGTTCACATGGAAAGCATTTTTTAATACCTAAGAAAATAAACCATGTACTTAATTTGATTTTGTAATCGTCTCCTTCCTCACTGTAAACAGCTATTTTTATGTAGAAGGGTAGCAAGTAATATTTTACAAGGAATATGCTATGTTTAATTGATCTCATTTATAAAATTTAATGGAAAAGGTTTAATGGCTTTTCATTCTAAAGTTATAATCCTAGTTCAAACTAAAAAATAAAAGTATATTATCATTATAATAGTTATTAATTTGTGCTACTGGAGATTGAATCCAGAGCCTGCACACTGAACTACATCCCCAAGTCCTTCACTGAACTGCTTACAGTGGGCTCCAATTTGTAATCCTCCTGCCTCAGCTTCCCAGAGTGCTGGGATTATGTACAAGCATACACATACTTGGCTTATATAACTGATTGACTTACAGTTTTAGAAATTTCTCATTTCTTTAATGTATGCTAGAAATCCAAAATGTAACTTATTTTAGCTTTCCTGAACTTTGCTGCTTTCTGCAAGGGCAAGATTAATTTTTAACTCAAAAATTCAGAAAAGAATTCTCTCTTTCTAAAACTTTTTTCACTTCTTTCTATCTCTCAAAGGTATGCAACCACTCATGTATTCAGTTCAGGAAGCATTAAATGCCAGACCATGGTGGATTCGGGTGGGAACTGACATTTGTTACTATAAGTAAGTATTCTAAGAATAATGAGATACCAGCATACAAAAAGAGGGTACTAGCTTCAATTTCACTGTAAAGGTAAAAAGTAGAGTTATTACTGCATTCTTTGTATTGGAATGATATGTGTTAGTAGTTCTGAAGAGTTCTTTAGGGTTTTAGATCTACACATCGGACGTGTAGAGATAAAATGTGTATTGAAGGCAGACAGACTCACACAAACTCTGTTTTCACCACTTAGTTTTGTTTCTTTAGCTTTTTAAAAAGGTTTAAAACTCTGGAGACTTCACTCAATGAAAACTGAAATTAAGGATTACAGGTTCTTGTAGTATCAAATATAATTCTTTTCACTTCTTTGTATTAGTACAGAAATATTTGCCTCATTTTAATTTACAAATTATTTTAACTGGAGATGTGTTCCATAGTTACACTGTATCAACTTACACAGTTCATCTTTGACTTAAAGTAAGTACTGTAATGTAGTGAGTTAGAAATAAGTACTTGTTGACCTGGATCCTAATTTTAGATCTGGAAAAAGCTAAGAGAAAAAAGTGAAATTAAGAATTATTTAATCTGTTGGATAATTGTATTCTTCAACTGCACTTCTAAATATTCTAGGATTCTCATATTCCTTGCTTTCCATTTCTGCTCTGTTTCTGCATGCAGTTTGTTTTCAGGTAACTTCCACTCTTTAATCCATTTTGTCTCCCAATTCATCTTTTATTATTAAACCTAGCAATTTCTTTGTAGTAGGTTTTGACTTTTAACGTTGTGCTTATTTAGCACTAATATCCCTTCTTTTTCAGCTTTGCCAGTTAGACAAAGGTGACTTATAAAATTAAACTGTTTCAACAGTTTCTGACATGACTTTGGAAAAATCTTTAAGTGCTGTTGTTTTCTGAAAATGAAAATGTCTCTTGGGCTTTATCTCAGTAAGGTTTTTTTCACCATTTTTATTAGCAAAATAAGTAGCAAATAAATGAGGAACAAGAATAAAGGTAATATGTAATTCATCTGTATTTGAATACATGTCATATTTCTTCTGGTGGTAGACAGATACAAAATATTGTGTAATCATCTTTCTTACAAAGTTTGAAGCAGTAATGATCTAGGTAGTGCTTGATTAGATTTTGGCAGAATTAGACTATTTTTTCTTCCTCTTCTTCCTCTTTATCTCTTTCTCCTCTTTCTCTTTCTCTTTCTCTTCCTCCTCCTCTTCTTCCTCCTCTTCCTCCTCTTCCTCCTCTTCTTCTTCCTCGTCTTCTTCTTGGATTGAACTCAGGACCTTGCACTTGTGAGGCTGGTACGGTGCCACTGAGCTAAATCCCAGGCCCCAAAGAATAATTTAGACTATTAAAGGGTAAAACTATATTTTTAAAGAAGTATTTTCATTCTTCATTACTTGTACACAATAGAAATCAGTGAATGGCTTTTCACATTACAAAATGAATGATCATAGCACAAATTATTCTAGTTTATATAAGAAGGTGACAAGGTTTTTTGTTTAAATTTTTATTTTTTCTTTTGGTTACTTCGAGGTCTAGAATTGGGGTTTAGTTCAATTCAACAAACATTCATTAACCATTTTCTATGTAACAGGCACTATTCTGGTTGCTTTCATGAGGGCTGAAGTTCAGATAGTAAGAATTAAAGCTATTTTTGCATTGTGTTTTAACTTTTCACATTAGCTGTGTCCTTTAATATTTGTCTTACCTATAAGATAAAATAAAATTACCTTTCATCAGTATACAAACTAATATATATTTTATTGGTTTATAATGTATGAACTGCCGTGTAGCTATTATATGGTGGTATAAATACAGTGGACCCTTGAGTTACAACTGGTCTGGCATACAAACAACTTGGGTTGTGACCAGAATTTTAGTTTTAACTTACGAACAAAGTCTTGAGTTATGACCCAAATGCCAGCCTCCCATGTTTCTAGATGGTCTCAGATACAAATTTAAACCTTAAAGAGTTCTGATAGGAACATTACAACAACCTCTCCTGTATGGTGTTAAGAAATCCTGGGCCAGTATCTCTCTAAGGACACTGAGATCTGCCTGTATGCAGGAGAGAGACTTTGAAGGCTGTGTAGAGGAGTCTGAGCCTTCAGTTGACCAATATGACTTACAACCAGCCCTCGGGAATGAATTGAGTTCATAAGTCAAGGGTCCATTGTATCTTTCCAGTTAGATGTTACAAATTTTGAGGAAAAAGGTTGGTGGAGACTAGAATAGTTCATTGGCTTATTCATTCATTCATTCATTGTTGATACTAGTGATTGAACCCAAAGCCTTTGCACTGAGCTGTGTCCTCAGCATTTTGATTTTTTTCTGAAGACAGGCTCTGGATAAGTTGCCCAGGTTGGGCTCCAACTTGTGATCCTCCCAATTTAGCCTCCCATAGTGCTAAAACTGTAGCATGTGCCACCATCTTCTGCTGGGACCAGCTCTTGAGCTTGTTTTGCATATCCCTTATTCCTTGTCATTAGATGTCTAGTCAAGATACAGTGCCTAAATTAATACAGGCTATACCAATTTGAAAAACTTCATAAATATTAGTGCATGAATAAATAGCCTAGAAGCCCTGATTTTCTGAGAGGATTTTGAATTTTAGAGATTGATAGAGCATCCTTAAATGCAATGTCAGCAATGTGTAAAGTATTTTTAGTATGGAGATGTTCACACATTTATAAATGTAGAGAATAGGATAATTGTGCCCTATTAGCCAGTTTCAGCAGTTATCAACACAGGGAGTTTTTAGCTTCACCCCTACTTTCACACTGAATTTTTAAAGCAGTTTCTAGATACAGTGTTTTATCAAGAAATACTTGAATATGTATCTAAAAATCAAAAAGCTTCTAAGACAATCCAACTGCAATGCTATTATTGTACCTCAGAAAAATTAAGAGGTATCCAGTCAGTGTTTCAACTTTCCTAGTTCTCATAAAATGTTGTTTTATACTTTTTAATAGTTGTCTGGCTTCAATTAGAATCACAAATGAAAATCACAGATTGCAATTCTTTAAACCAAATGACCATCAGAACAAAACACAAGTCCATCAAATATTTCATGTTAAAAATGGCTTGTCGCGCTCCCAGTACAGAGGAGGAGGCTTCCAAGTAGATATGTCACTGCTCCCAGCACAGAGCGGGAGGCTTCCAGGTAGACGTGCCATCACTCCCAGAGCAGAGGCTTCCAGGCCAATGTGCTACTGCTCCCAGCACAGAGGAGGAGGCTTCTGGGTCAACTTGCCACCACTCCCAGCACAGAGGAGGTGACCTGCATGGGCGCCAGCAGCACACCCCCCC